TCCTTTAGATGTGTAACAATGAAGAATTTTGGGAGAAATTTAAAACATTACACGATAAACATGCTTTTGATACAAAGATGAGGAGGAGCACTTACAAGAAGCTATTAGCTTTCCACCAAAATGCAGCCCTAGCAGAAGCTCACACAGAGAAGACAGCATTTTTCTAAACTTCACTGAAGTGACAAAATTTTAAAAATAAAGATTTAAAACTGAATTTTCATATGACAATTACTATCATTAGACCTTGCTATAGCTGGGACTGGGTTGAAGCAATTAACTGGTGGATTTAAGTAGGCTAATTTGCTTAAAAAAATCCTCTTGACTCTGAATACTGTTCTGAAAATAAACTTATTTTCTCTCATTTCTCTTTTGCTATTAACACAGATCAAAGAGATCAAATACCTACTTAATTCTCCACTTTAATCTCTGACATGTCCTTAATTTTAAAGATAGGAAGAAGAGAATAGAAAACAAATCTACTTAAAGTGGAGATAATTATCTCTCTTTTCATCAGAGTTTAGAAGACAGATACAAATGAGAATTCCATGACAGAGGCAAACATAAAAGATCATTTCTCATGGTGTGATGTGAAGAAGCTCACGCTCTTCACTATCCAGGTCCTCTACATATGCAGAAGGACTGTGGTCAAAGGGGCCGCTAGGCCACAGCCACACACCCTGCTGTCCTTGTGGAGATCTGGTCAGAGAACCTGTTGCCCCGTGAGCTGCCTCACCTTCTCCCAAGGGTCTCACTGTCATTTGACTCATGAAATGGGAGACGATCACTCGGTAAGCACTATAATCAAGCAAGTGAAAACTTGTTTCCAAAGATGTAAATGAGATTCTTCAAAGTGCCTATTTCATGTCAGATTTGAGGAATTACTTCAGTCAGCTGGTGTTTATAATTTACTAGCAAGACTGAGATCCATTAGAATACTGATAGTTAATGTTCTGCTTTGCTATGTTCATGTTTAAATATAATTATTAAAATTATTAGATAGCTGAATAAAACCAGACTGGGATCTAAAATGAGAAACAATAGGAAAAAAAAAAAAAGGTCGGGGGGCGCCTGGGTGGCTCACTTAGGGTTAGTTAAGCGTCTGCCTCTGGCTCAGGTCATGATCCCAGGGTCCTGGGATCGAGCCTCACATCGGGCTCCCTGCTCGGCGGGAGGCCTGCTTCTCCCTCTCCCACTCCCCCTGCTTGTGTTCCCTCTCTCGCTGTCTCTCTCTGTCAAATAAATAAATAAAATCTTTAACAAAAAAGAAAGTTTTGCAAAGCAAATATAGAAGGCAATCCAACAGGTGGCCAGCCCCACGCCACCCCTCGGTCACACTGGGCACTGCAGTCCCTCCCTGTGATGTGGACTGCAACTCTCAAGGGGTACGTCCATGTGAAGAATATTCTTTCCTAACATTTCTACCATTTCTTAGACATGTGATAATCTCAGAAACCTTTTTTTCTGGCTAATTAGTAATAAAAACTTTACAAATATGAAAGCAGCTTGACTTTGCCAGCAACAGGTGCTAGACATCTCTAAACCTGCTTCCTAGTTTTATAAAAGGGAGATCATGTACATCCTGCCCAACCAATCTTAAAAATGAGTCTAAGTCGAAACTGGGAAGTGTATATGGAAGTGTTTTATACCAAGGTAACCCATTATACAGTGTATTATTATTTTAAATCAGTAATCTCGAAGGGACTTCTGGAAAGCCCTGGGGGCAGATCTCAGGAACCTTTCAAAGGGTGTAACTACTTTCTACTTAGTTATTTTCTAGCTTTACTGAGGTATAACTGACAAATTTTAACATTGAAAGTGTACAACATACTGACTTATAAAATGTATACATTATGAAAGGATTCTTCACACTGTGTTACAGCATCACCTCACACATTTACTTTTTTGGGGGCTGAGAAAATTCTCTCTTAGCAAATTCCAATTATACGATACAATGTTATCACCTACAGTCACTACCTTATACATAAGATCCTTGACCTTAATCTTATAACTGAATAACCTGTGACTTTCACTAACCTCTCCCTATTTCCCTCACACCCTAGTCCTGGCGGCCACCATTTTACTCTGTTTCTAGGAGTTTCATTTTTTTTCCCACACTGTACATATACAGTATTCGTCTTTTTTTGTCTGGCTTACTTCACTTAGCACAATGTCCTCCAAGTTCATCCACATTGTTGAAAATGGCAGGGTTTCCTTTCATGAGGCTGCATAAACACCCTCCACCGTGGACACTAAGGTTGTTTCCATACCGTGGCCACTGTGAATAACGCTGGGACGAACATGTGAACAGACGATTCCACTCCCTTTGGACCTATGCCCACAGTGGCACTGCTGGGTCATACGGTAGCTCTACTTTCAATTTCTTGAGGAACCGCCACACTGGCCTTCCATAGTGGCTCTACCGCTTGGCACGCCCACCCACGATGCACAACGGTTCTCCTCCTTCACATCCTTGTCAAGACTTGCTCTCGTCTTTCTGATTTCAACCACTCTGACAGGTGTGAGGTGGTATCTCCTTGGGGTTTTGATTTGTATTTCTCTGATAGCAGTGGTGTTGAGCACCTTTTCATGTACCTGTTAGCCATCTGTGATGTCCACTGTGGAAAAATGTCTATTCGGGTCTTTTGCCCCCTTTTTTTATTGGGTAATTTGTTTTTTTTTGCTGTTGGGTTGTATGAGTTCCTCACATATTTTGGATATTAACCCCTTATTAGGTATGTTGTGTGAAGATATTTTTTTCTTTCCATACGCTGCCTTTTCATTTTTCAAATGGGTTCCCTTCGTGTGAAACTTTTTAGTCCAATGTAGTTCCATTTGTTTATTTTTACTTTTATTGCCTTTCCTTTTCATGTCATATACAAAAAATTATCGCCAAGACTGGTGACAAGGATCGAATCCTCTATGTTTCCTTCTAGGAATTTTATGGTTTCAGGTATTATGTTCGAGTCTTCAGTCATCTTCAGTCAAAGCCCAAATGAGCAGTGAGAACACAGTGAGATCCAGTCTGATCTAAGTAGGAGTCAGCAAACTACGGTCCACGGGCCAAATATGGCCTGCTGCATGTTTTTATAAATAAAATTTTATTGGAACACAGCCCTGCCCATTCATTATGTATTGCCTAATGGCACAGTTTACAAGTTGTAACAGAGACCAGAGAGTCTGCAAAGTCTAAAATAGTTACTACCTACCCCTTTTCCATCAGGTCTGGCTGTGCTGGGTCACATGGACCTCGCTAAATCACGGCAAGTCCTTCTCACCCCTCCCCTGCCAAATTCTTGGAGTTCCAGAGTCAAGAGCAAGAGCACAGCAATGCCATGGGAAGGACTATATGTCCAACAGTCAAACATCTTTAATGATAAATGAGTAATTCTCAGGTTTGTTTTTTCTTTTTTAAAGATTTTATTTATTTATTTGAGAGAGAGAGAGAGAGAGAGAGAGAGAGAGATAGGTTCTTTTCTTTGTTGGGAGTTCCTCCTCCTAGTCATTCTGTTGAGGGGTGGTTGAGGGAATACAAGTACAGAGTCCTAAATATCAACCACAATCCAAGCAAGATGCACCCTCGAAACCGTGCTTGTAGAGATCCAGATATATATATTCCTACATCTCAGGCTGATTTCGTGGCTGTTCAGAATGGTCTGGTAGATATCCAGCTAAATTCAGCGGACTGGTTGAATCAGAGTCCCCTACTCTTCTGCCATCTTGCCCCCTCCCGAGAGAGACAGAGATAGGGAGAGAGAGCACAAGCAGGGTGGGAGGACAGAGAAACAGCCTCCCCGCTGACCAGGGAGCCCGATGTGGGGCTCAATCCCAGGACCCCAAGATCATGATCTGAGCAGACAGACACTTAACTGAATGAGCCACCCAGGTGCCCCAAATTCACAGTTTTTTTGATAAACATTTCATATTTAGTAAGGAATAATCAATAAAATACTCAGGTAATTAAAGCTACATTTTGAAAAGCAATATTTTATTATGTAAAATTTGATATAGGAAAAGTACCATAACCTGGACTTCAAATCCACAGCAACTAAAATTATTTAACATGTGGTCCAAAGCATAGTGCCAGAAATACATTAATGTTTAACAACTTCACTAACATTAAAAAATACTGTGAATGCATAATTACAGAATGCTCCATTAAGTCCTTGAAAAATAAAACCGCCTCAGAATGCAAAAAGGAAAACCCCCGATGCTGTACCTGTTATCCCTGTCCCCAAATGATGCCCTTATGTTATCTCTGCAGCCCTTACATAACAGTGGTTATACACCATGAGCAGCACATCCATCAAAAGACTGGGAAAAAAGTCAGTGGCCAACTGCTGAAGGGGCAATACTTAAAGCTGTAGAACTTCCCACAGTGGTAAGGCTCCCATCCTAGCAGCTGCAGCACAGAGACGTCAGAATGCTCACGAGAGCACAGGTGTCTAGATCACCAGCTTATAATGGCGTGAGAGCTGCTCCCTTCCCTCTTTTAAACTACAGCTCATACACGCGCGTGATCCGAATCCCGAAAGATCACTTACTCACACATGTGTAGGACTCAAAGTACAGGTTATTCCTACAACATGTCTCAAAGTGCTTCAGAGTCCACTGGTATAATACTAATTTTCTTCCCTGTTTTAATCATATGTTTCTACTTTTCAAAGAGGTTACTTGTTCTGTTTTGGCTAAACAGTATATACTAGTTCATACTAAAAACAGTAAAATCTATGACAACTTTTCAATTTTTTAACAGGCTGCTTCTTAAGAATGGTTTCTAGATGTTTCTATGACCCACGTTTATTTCTAGTTTCTGATTTCTTTAAAAGGAGTAAATGCACCTTGCAGGTTATACTCTAGGCTAATTGATACATTTCTGGAACACCCTCTCTAACCCACAAAATGCTGAATGGGAGCTTCCCGCCAAACGTGCACGCTGACTCACCCTGCCTCTTCACTCTGCTGGGAACCGGACCGTCCTGAATCTTCAGCCTCACCCCTGCTTCCATCACGGCCCTCCACAGAGATCCCCCCAGCAGTTTCTTGAGCTCGGATGCGAGCTCCTGGCTGGTACAGCTGCAAGACCGGCCGATCCTGCCGGGACAGAGGGGTGGGTTACCCTTCCAAAGGCTGGCAATACAGGAGGGAGCAAAAGTCTCTACTTCCAGAGTCTAATGATCCTCATTATCTAAAGCAAATTAGTCTTACAGCTAAAAATCTGCCTTTTTCAGCACTATCACAGAAACCAGGCATTTTGAAGCCAAAAAAAAAAAAAAAGCCATGAAAAGGAAGACAGTTAACATTTAAAATAACTTGAAAGCAGGTAAAATTAGTATCTGGGAAAATGTTACGCTCAAACCCAGAACACCCCCAGAGCCAGTAGAACCATGGCATTCCCCTCCCAGGTGGAGAGATGAAGACTTACACACACATCTCAGCCCCTCCAACTCACCAGGTAGGGTAAACATGCAGCCCAAGACAAAGCAAGGCATAGCCCCTCAGAGGTGGCTTTTTAGGGTCATGAACCAAATAGTTAATAAGATGTGTAATGAGCACTTTCCATGTGGGTTATTCCTGATCTGTCCCCTTCATCTGATTAAACTCTCAGAGGTGGAAGAACGCAACAATGCTTGAATAAAGTGTGTAAAATACTACTGAACTGCTTAAGGACACTAGGATGGTGAGGCCAGTGAAGGACCAAGGGATTCTGAAGGTTAAGGACCAGGAGCAACAGTGGGAAGCCAGCCAGCTCTGCCCTGGAGGAGAGGGGGACCAACCAACCCCTGGCTCAGGGGAGCCTCCTGTACCTGCACCCCTTCCTTGGCCACCTGGGGGCCCTGGCACATCCCGCATGGTATGTTTCTGCAGGACTCACCAACTCACCTTTACCCACTCCCAGGCCCCACAGTCACCACCAGGGCATTTATTGGCATGCCCTCTTCCTTAGCGGAAGCCTGGCCAATGAAGAGAGTGGGAAAGGGCTGGGCAGGCACTGTGGGTCTGAATCCCTGTGCACACAGAGGTGCAGGGCTCCCATGCCACTTCCTGCCTGAGGCCAACACGCACGGTCCTGCTTTTCACCAGGGCAACACTGGTGTGTACAGACGGTGTAAGGACACTGTAACCAGCCAGGCCTCATACAAAAGGTGCCGTTACGCACAAGGCACCTTACTACTCCCAGAGCGTCACAGTTAATTGAGAGGAGTCCCAACACCTAAAGCTGTGTAAATACACATCACTCACTGTTGCTACATCAAAAGGCAGCTGAAACACAAGTGTTCATGAAACAACCCCCACCAAGAAGACCCATGGCTGTGCCTGCTGTACCTGAGGTTAAGGTAACTACAGAAACCTCTGAATAACACAGATGTGGTTAGTCAAGGCTACAGATAAGAAGGCTCCCCTCTTGCCGGTAGCTCTGCCTTGCCTTTACTGGAAACATTTTAAAAATTCACATCACTGATACCAGCAACACCTTGGGTGGATCTGAAGGGAATTCTGCTGAGTGAGAAAGCCAATCTCGGGTCACACACTGTGTGCTTCCACTTCTAAAGCACCCCTGAAATGACAAAATCAAGCAGACAGAAGACAGTGTGTCTGCTGAGGTCAGGGATGGGGTGGCAGGACAGTGTGGACTGCAGCCCGGGGAGGCTTGGTCCCCTCGGTCATCGGGTGGCCGGGCGGTGGGGGGCTGGCTGGCACCATGGGGCCGGGGCCTGGCCCTGGAAGGGACAGGACCCCATTAATACTGCTTCTCCGCAACACAGTGATCTGAATAAAAATTAACATCATCAAACTCTTGGGGGAAAAAAAAAGCCATTTTTTTTTTTGGTCTAAATGGGCAATTCCAACCCTGTGTCGACTGTGCAGATCTGACAGGTTATTTATGAGCCATTTGACTATCTCCTAATAATCAGTATGTTATTGGTAATGTAAGAGAAAGCTCCACAGAGTATCATGAAATGCAAGCTCTCGGGCGGTGCCTCCCTAAGAGTGCAGGACCAGTGGGGGTGGACTTCTCACTGTCAGAGTGTGTGATCCGAAATATCAAGACACCCAATGTAGATTTCTCTGTTTTGGCTAAACAAAGTAACTTCTGTTTGGCAAAGCAGGTATAAGCCTGCAGAGGTGTAGTTTATACTTTTAGGGTTGATGAATGAATGAATGAATAGAAGAACCTTGTTTCCTGGGCGCTCCGCTTTGGGTGCTGGGCCGCCTTCACTCCTGTGCTCTCTCCCAGGCCACTCTGCTGCCTCCACAGGGATGCCACTGTCCTGGCTCCCCTTCTTCCCTCTGTCTGAGGGGACTCCTTTCCCCCATTTCAGCTCTTCTTTTCTCCTTGAAAACTTGTCAAACTCACAGTGAGCTCTGTGCTTTCTGCTGTCATCCATGTGGCATCTTTGTGTTTCAGGCTCTTTTTCTCGAAATCTTCTCTCCATCTCCCTTTTCTCTTTATCACTGTCATTCTGCGACCTGTGATTCAGTACAAATTCTCAGTAACCTTAGGTATACTGCTTGTCGAGCACCTATCTTCCCATCCAGACTGCAAGTTCCAGAAGACGCAGGGAATACCTAAGTCTGCTCATCAGCACACTGCAGGCATGCACGTAATGGGCACAGCACAGGCATTCAAGAAAAAATTGTTGAAAGATGAATCGACAACAGTAACGACAGTATCTACTGTTAAACCTGAATGACATATATAATAAGCATATATACTTAGTTTTCTAATTCTCAGTAACCCCCCAAAGCAAATATAACTCCCCCCTTTACAGATAAAGTACAGGAGACCAAAGTGCTCATGTGACTTTCCTAGTGGCCCAGGTCCATGTCCATCATGACACAGAGCTGATACTGATGGCTTAGTTTCTGCTTCAAGTGTAGCTAAAATTAATTGAAATTTTTATTGTATAATTTTTATTTGTATAATTTTCCTACATGTATTAAACTGATAAATGCGTAATAAATACGTGGCTGCTTAGCTCCTTTGGTTCTTAAAGTCTTTTCCTTCACAACCCACATGTAAAAGTCCTCACGTGCTGTCTGTGGTTTCCCCACAAAACAGAAGCAGCAGGATTGGTGGGGAGAAAAAGATCTATAAGCAAAGTGTGAATTCATGCCAGAAACATGACAAAAGGCACTGTCGTATCATAAGCAATAATACAAATACCTCTAACAGAAACCACAGTGCTAACAGATCATAGATTTCATAATCATGCATAAATTAATTTTATAAACAAACCAATAAACCAGAACCCCAAAAAAGAGGGAAACTTTTTTTTTTTTTTTT